TTGAGGGCGGATACATTGCACATATAATGTTGGCAGAAATTATTACCAAGCATTTGTTGCCCCGGTGTTAGGCGGAATTTCAACCAACCTAATCGAAAACCATTAAGGAAAGTGGTAAAGATGGACGGGACCGACCTATATGATACCCTTTACCAATTTGTCTATATTCAAGAGATACATCTTAACACATCTCACATTTTTGAAGGACCATTGGCATGAAACTGGGCTAAATTAAATATATGATCTGTGTCTATATGTGAACCGACTTAACCCTACGATCAATAACCGGATAGATTTGCAACTTTTTATACCCTCCGCCACAGTATGGGGGGTATATTTAGTTTATAAGTTTTTTTTTTTTTTTCGTTTATAACTCAACGAAATAATCATTTCCGACCCTATAATCTATACTAATAAATGAGTAAAGCGATTGACTGACTGACTGATTTAACGATTCATCAACGCCCAGTCGAAATGGCTGAAGCTAGAATCTTGGAATCTTTTTTGGAAATTCGTCCTATAAGTATCCGAAAAGTATCGAAATGTACTAAATTTGGTACAATTTCGTACCGTGTGAATGGAATTCAAATTAAGGTTGAGAAGTAGGGTCGATATGAGTAGAGTTTGTAAAGCGTGTACTCATGTGTACGAAAAGTACTATATGGTACTATATTTGGTACAAATTTGATTTGAAGGTACAAATTTGATTTGGAGGTACAAATCGAGCTGGAATCCTGAAAATTGAAAGTAACATTACCCTCGAAGTGTAGGATTGGGATATGTACGCAGTTTTGGAAATTTTTACTTATGTATACGAAAAGTACTAAATCGTACTATAATCGGTAAAGTTTGGATTTGGGTGCACCGATAGAGCGGGAACAATGAAATTTGGAGTTAGGATCACTGTAGGGGTTTGGGATTGGGGTGCGGATACAGTTTAACAAATTAATACTTATGGGTACTAAATGGTACTAAATTTGGTACAATTTGAATTTTAGTTGAACCAATAGATCTAGAATCATGAAATTGTGAGTCAGGATCACTGTTAAGGTTAAAGATTGAGATATGTACAAGTTTTGAAAAATTGTACTAATGTGTACTAAATTTGGTACAATTTGAATTGTGAATGAACCGATAAAGTTGAAATCCTGAAACTCGGATTTGGGATCACTGAATTTAAATTTTAGGTGAACCAATAGAGCTAGAATCATGAAATTGTGAGCCAGGATCACTGTTAAGGTTAAAGGTTGAGATATGTAAAAGTTTTAAAAAAATTTTACTAATGTGTACTAAATTTGGTACAATTTGAATTGTGAATGAACCGATAAAGTTGAAATCCTGAAACTTGGATTTGTGAACACTGTGGGAGTGTAGAGTTGGGGTATGTAGGAAGTTGTAGAAATTTGTACTAAGTGTAAATTTTGTACAATTTAAATTGTGGGTGAAGCGATAGAGCTGGAATCCTGAAATTTGGATTTAGGATCAGTGTGGGGTTGTTGGTTTTGGGGATCACTGTGGGGGTGTAGGGTTGGGGTATGTAGGAAGTTTTAGAAATTTGTACTAAGTGTAAATTTGGTACAATTTGAATTGTGGGTGAACTGATAGAGTTTGAATCCTGAAACTTAGATTTAGGATCACTGTGGGGGTGTTGGTTTGGGTTAAGTAGGAAGTTTTGGAAATTCGTACTACTGTGTACTAAATTTGGAACAATTTGAATTGTGGGTCAACCAATAATGTTAAAATCTTGAAACTTGGATTTAGGATAAGTGTGGGGGTGTAGGATTGGCGTATGTAGGAAGTTTTGGAAATTGGTACAACTATGTACTAAATTTGGTACAAATTGAATTGCGGGTGCACCAATAGAGTTGGTATCATTAAACTAGGATTTAGGATAACTGTTGGAGTGTAGGATTGGGATATATAGGAAGTTTTGGAATTGGTACTACTGTGTACAAACTTTGGTACTATTTAAATTGGTAATATATAAATATATTTACGGGGGCTATATGTAAATCTGAACCGATTCCAATAGAACTTGGAATACTTTTGACTATCCTAACTTCAGTTCGTGCCAATCGGCCTAAATTTGACTCTTTAAACTTGTTTAAACCATTTGCTAAAAATCTGATGAAAATATATATGGAAGCTATATCTAAACCTGAACCGATTTCAATAATACTTGGCACACGTTATGCTACCTTAACTTCAGTACTTTGTGCAAAATTGTGTGGCCTAAATTTGACCCTTTGGTGCACCATTTACTAAAAATAGGACAAAAATATATATGGGAGCAATATCTAAATTTGAACCGATTTTCACCAATAGTAAATGCGACCTGCACTTTGTTTACAATTTAAAGTGGGCGGACAGATGGACGGATGGACATGCATAAATCGACTCAGAAAGTGATTCTATGCATATTCTCAAAAGGAACCATGGGTCTATCTCGTTTCATTTTGCATGTTACAAACATATGCACAAAGAAATAATACTCTGTACCACAGTGTGATAAAGGGTATAAATAGACAACTATTGTTAAAACTTCGTTTGATAAAATGTTTTTTTTTACATAGTTATAGACTCACAAAAAAAAAACTGCTACGGAGTGACCTTAGTTAATAATTCAAAACCTTGCTAGGGATTTTCTTCTATCATCATAAGGTATCGGAAGCTGAAATGGGAGCTATCCCAAAACCTGAACCTTTATTTAAAATTTACAATGAAGCTGTTTTTTACACACCAGGGACACAAAATTCTACATTACGATAGTAAAATGTATTTCAGACCACAAAAATACCTATAAATTTGAAAATATGGACCTATATTATAGATATGTTTTGCTTCCTCCAATAACCCTGAATGTCAATACCGAAAATGAGCAGAACCTATATATAATGGATTATGTCAGAACATGGACCGGAATTTAAACGTTTCTCCAAAAACAAGGAATGAGTCGTATTTTTCCAGCCACGTTGTTGGGAAAATGTGGATATATCCTTCAAAAAATTAAAAATTAGGCTTGACCGTTTATTAAATGGGACTATGGACCTATATAAAATTATGTTTATCACCTTCCAAAACCCTGGAACTTTCTTTGAAAAAATCTGGCTAAATGGTCCAATTAACTGAAAACACGGGGATGTAATTTTTTTCTCATTGCAATTCATTCCCATCAGCCTTATGACATATGAGGGTATCTACACTTTGATACGGCAAAATGCGTTTTAGATCCGGTTCGAAAAGTTAGAAACCTGGTTCTTTTTCCATTACTATATATATTTTTAGAAAATAATTCGGTGGAAACCAACAGTTCTATATAATAAGGAATGTATACTAAATTTACTGAAATTGAGGACCCTACCTAACATTTTATGAGCAACATTTTTGTAGAATATCGCGAGTATGAAAACTCGCATCTTGTGATAATTGAGTTCGCCTCGATAACATAAGGATGAAAAGGACACACAAGGAATGGAGTTAGAAGGACGAAATGTTCTACAAAAAAATTCTCATTCGATTCTACTAAATAAATGCAATCTCCCAAAATACATACAATAGCTACAAATGAGAATATGAAGCTATATCTTCAAGTATAATAGGGTCTCCAGAAAAAAATATTTTCACGGCATATATTTCCAAACTTTGACCCAAGGTGAATTTTTCCTTCTGGTGTTTTCATATACTCTCCAAGGTCTTAAATCCCCAATAGTGATTTCCCACCTCCATAAAATTAGCTGAATTTTATCGCAAAGTTTAATAGATTCTCTCATATAAAGTAGTCATCCCTTTGACTTACCATTATCATCATTCATACCATTCATACCCATACCATTATCATCATTCATAATGATAATGGTAATGATCATAAACAGCATCATCATTATTGAAAATTAATACGAGTACTAATGACAGCTACTGATAAGAAAATTGATTTGCCTAAGAGTTCATAGTCAAGATTTTTCTTAATTGAATACTCGTGCTGGGACGGAAACTGATAATAGACGGGGGGTTTAATAGGGCAATGAACCCACAGAATATTACATTCCACTTTATTAAAATTCAATTTAATTAATGATTCATTAAAAAAATGGGTCAATTTTAATTATTGAGACAATATGCCTGGAACATTTATTTATGTTCAATTTTTATAATGACTACATGCTATAACTTGTCAATAAATCAGGGTATCTTCAGAAATTTCCAATCCATAAAGTCTCTCTGGCCTTCCCTCGTAAATAAAAGATTTTTATTTATAAATCGTCTCTGCCCCTAAGCTTGACTATAGAAACTATTTGAGCTCAAGATTCAACTTATCTCTAAACGCCATTTGATTCTCAAATATATAAAACAACCCGGTCCTCAGTTTGTCCTAAGGACTCCCAGCTCGTCTATAAAAAGGCTCTCTTCAGGTCATCTATAAAGACTCCCTTCAGCTCGTCTCTGAAGACTCTCTTGAGATCGTCTATAAAACTCCCCACAAATAAAGACTCCCATCAAATTTTAACTGTTATAAAAAATTATACGAATTTCCACATTTAAAGAAAATTATAAGTCAAGAAATGGTTTGATATTGTGATTAGAAGCTTAATAAATCAAAGTATTCCAATTTTGTTTTTAATTGTAAGGACCTCCATAGGGCCGTACAATTTTCCTTAACCCTAAGTGTGTTAATAATTTTGAAATATAATCAAATATTTATCTTAAAAAAAGAAGCATATTTATAGCATTGCAATAATAAGCCATTGAAAAAAAAAAAATACATATAAACAGATTGTAAATAATATTATATAAACAAAAATATATTATATAAACAAAAATAAAAAAAAATTAAAATAAGTAAAAAAACATCCAAAGCAACTGAGCATGCGTGCAATTATTTACAACAAAATAAGAAGGGGGAGAGGTGTTAATTACGATAATGCCAATTAGTTTAGTAGCCAATTCGGTTGTTAGTTAACAAATTACGGATATTTGCGTTAAAAGGTTTTATTTGGACTTACCTCATAGGTGGATGTCAGCTGAAGATTACAAAACACTGGCAAAAAGACATACCATGATATGACACCCGACAATGCCAGTGTAATAAGAATGAAGGCATATTGTGTACCATAGACATAGATTTCAGTTGATGTACCCAATAGGGATATGCCGGAAACGAAACTGAAAAGAACAAATAACCAAACAAAATTAAACAAAAAATTAAGTAAAATAAAAAAAATGAAAAAATATTAAATTTAGAACTATATATTTAATTTGCGGATTTAAAAAAATATATATAATTTGGTATAAATTTTTTAACTCCAATTGATGTGGAATTTTTAGAAATATTTCTTAAAGAACCAAAGTACTGACGGATTTTTTAAAAATAAATTTTTATGGATCATAGTAGTAGGCGTGGGTTTAAATCTTTTTTATTTTCGAATAAAAGCACAATAGTCGTGCATTTTTATACCCTACACAACTATGTTGTCAGGGCATTATAGCTTTGTGCAGCCCCAAAAGTTTGTAACGCCGCGAAATATTGGTCCTAGACCCACCTTTAAGTATACCGATCGTCATATCTCGACTAGCTGAGTCGATCTAGACATGTGTGTCCGTCCGTCTGTCCATTATAATTTGTAAACACGATACAGGCCACAGTTATGGACCAATCTTCACGAAATTTTGCATGTAGGATGGGTTCTGGCCAATGAAGACCCTTATTGTTTTTGGAAAAAATCGGTTAATATTTAGGGGATGAAATGGACCAAAAATTTTTTTTGTCGGTTTTTCTGGTCGCTTCAGAGGCTGCAATTATGGCCCAAACACCACGAATTTTTGCATGGAGAAGGGGATCGGGCCAGAGAATAAGCATGCATATTTTGATAAAGATCGGTCAATATTTAGCGGGTCAAATGGACCCTGACTTTTGTGTTGTATTTGTATTCCATAGCGTATATATTTACCCCTGAAGAACAAAGCCTCGAGAAGTTGATAGCATATCCAAGAGGAGTGGTTGACCTTTAAATTGATACCATTTATATGGTCGTATGTACACAGATGTGGGAGTTACACTTAAATATTTATAGGTGCTTACGTACTGAGATATTATTTAGTAACCCATTACCACACTAGAAGGCGGAAATATAGCGCTGATCGATTTTAAAGATTCCATGAGGTTCCGGTTATGGTCAAGGACAACGCCTATAATTTGCGGTGATGATCAGATAATAATTTTGAGATGAAGTGGACCAAAACTTATTTTTCTTGTGTTTTTTCAAGTCGCCACAATTATAAGCAGAATATTACACTGGACAATGAATCTGGCCAACTAATTTGATGGGCTATTGTAATGATATGTCACTATTCAGCAGGTCAAGTCAATCAAGACCTTTCTGTGTAAAATGAAAAAAATGGATATTATGATATAAAACATAATTCGAAAAAGATGTCATTGCAAGAAATAGGAGCTATTGACCTCTAATCGGTTAAGAGGGTGCAAATAGATATAGATCTGCAGAAAGTTAGAGTTCCGTGGTAGTTGTGTAGGGTATCATATGGTCGGCTCCGTCCGACTATACTGCTCCGCTCACTGGTTTAAAAATATTTTTGGGGATGTTTTTAGATGTTTCAAGAATATTTTGTAAGATGCCTCGATTTGTTAAAAATAATCAATAGGCATGGGTTTATTAAAATATTTTTCATAGACTTCAATAGCATGGATTTTTATACCCTACACAACAATGTTGTCAGGGTATTATAGCTTTGTACAGCCCCAAGAGTTTGTAACGCCGCGAAACATCGCCCAAACATCGCAAAGGAAAAGCGAAGCAGTATGCTTGTTTTGATAAACACTGGTCATTATTTAGCGGGTCAAATGGACCCTGACTTTTGTGTGGTAAATGACAAAATTGTTTTCTATGGCGTATATATATAGGCGTAGGGGATGATAGATACCAAGCAACGGCTCTAATTGGCTTTTATCTCAATTGTGGACACTGACCTCCCCGTGGTGCCACCTGGGGTAGCTATTTTCATCACCCGATGAAATAGTATGCTAATATGTGCCGCGAGTTCACCTATAATAACTACAAAAAATTGGTTCAGGCGTCGGGTTAGTTGCCCACACTCGGAAAACCGAACCTACTATGAAAAAGCAAAGAAAAGGAAAACCAAACCCCCCTAATGTTGACGACCCCCGCAAACGTATAAAGGACCACGATCTGCGAATCTGTACTTGGAATATGTGCATGTTGTACAGAAAAGGCGCAGTGTTTGCTTTGGCGGATGTACTCAAGAAGTACAAAGCAAAGATATTATTGCCTTACGGGAAATGCGATGGAAAGGGACTGGCGTAAGTAAATCAGATGATTACGTCCTGTATTATAGCTGCCATGAAACGAGACATGAATTTGGATTTTTGCGGATTTATGGATAACAGGAGAATAAAAGACCTCGTCTCCAGTTTCACTTCAGTAGATGAGCGAATTGCTATAATCCGTATAAAAGCGAAGTTCTTCTACATCGGTCTCATTTGCGCCCATGATCCTACCGAAGATAAAGATGAACAGACCAAAGACATATTTTACGAGCGCCTAGAAACAGCATATGACCGTTGAACAAGAAAAACGTGAGCGTGAGCAAATCGTGATGTACAGGAGCCAGAATGAAGTCCGAAAATTCTACCAACGGGTAAAACACCAAACCGAAGGCTTTGGTGCAGGCACATCCTCCTGTAGAGATGAAGAAGGAAACCTGGTGACAGATACAGACAGCGTGCTGAGGATCTGGAAGTAGCATTTTGAAAAACTTCTGAAATCAAATAGTAGCGGTGAAGAGGATACCCCGGAACCAATAATAGATGACGGTATATAGTGTATACCACCGAGCCAAGATGAAGTCAGAATAGCAATCAATCGGCTGAAGTGCCGATGGGTTACAAGCCGAACTATTCAAGACTGGTGCTCAGATGCTGGTCAGGAGCATGCACCAACTGATTACTACAATTTGGCTAGAGGAATGCATGCCCAATGATTTCAACCTCATCATCCTGTGTCCCGTGCACAAAAAAGGAGACAAGACGATATGTGCCAACTATAGAGGAATAAGTCTCCTTTCCATCGCATATAAAGTGGTATCCAGCGTCCTGTGTGATCGACTGAAGCCAATGGTCAATGACATTATTGGACCATACCAATGCGGCTTCACATCTGGCAAATCCACCATTAACCAGATTTTCACTCTGCGCCAAATCCTGGAAAAACCCACGAAAACCCCATCGACACATTCCACCTATTCGTCGACTATAAAGCCGCATTCGACAGCCCTATCCGTTCAGCCATGTCTGCGTTTGGCATTCCTGCAAAATTTATTCGGCTATGCAGGATAACTTTAACAGGCACAGTTAAAGTCGGAAAGGACCTATAAGAACCCTTTAATACCGAACGAGGATTCAGACAAGGTGACAGTTTGTCGTTTGACCTTTTTAACATCCTGCTGGAAAAGGTCATACGAGAGGCAAAAGTGAACAGAAATGACACTCTGTACACCAAACAACACATGTTACTCGCCTAGGTCGATGACATCGACACAATGGGACGAACACTGAGAGCGGTAACAGCCACCTTTGAACAAACTGAGAAGGAGTCTGCCAAAGTGGGTCTCGTAGTGAACGGCGAGAAGACCAAGCTTCAGTCTTCTCGCATCAACGCGCAAGACGTCCAGTAGACTCGGACTTACTGTGGAACTTGAGAACTACAGCTTCGAGATAGCCAAAGGTTTATATTCCTTGGTACCGCCACAAACAAGACGAATGACATCAGTTTTGAAATTCGGAGAAGAATATTGATGGCCAAACAGATGCTACTATGGTCTGAGCAAACAACTCAAAGGCAAGGCCCCTCCCGCCAGACCTAACTCACACTCTACAAGACGCTGATACCGTACTGTTATATGGATCTAAAGCATGGGTATTTGCGCAAGAAGATGAGGCAGCTCTTGGAGTGTTTGAGAGAAAAATTCTCCGAAAGATCTATGGGCCGATCTGCGTTGACGGTGAATATCGCCGTCATTTAAAGTTGTGGATTTTTAAATAAAGAAAGATTTTTTTAAAAATATTTTTTTAAATACATTCAAAGGCGCGGAATTTAAAAATAATTTTTTGAAAGACATTCAATGAACCTCTTTAAAATACAAATAGTATGCATCCCTCCTCAACCTGCATTCTTCATTTTGTCGTTTTCTTAGTATCACGCACAATTAAGGATCTTCATTGTTTGCACCTGAAAGAATGAAACTAATTTAAAACTACAATATTTATTCATTCAAATTGTCGGTTTATTTTCGTCGGGCTATAAATGACAAATTGTCTCATCGGTGTCGAGGCCGACAACAAAAGTTAATTTCCTCTACCATTGGTGGATATTTCGACAAAAGTTATTAGGCGACTCCGTGGACAGAAAATTGAAACAACATTGCCACCGACACGTTGAAATTAATTATTGGGAAATTTCTTGCAAAAACTTGAACAACAAAATTTTCTTTTGAAAAATTCATCATCTTAAAGAAAAGAGAAAAGTTATTGTTGTCGTCGTTATTGTTGCTGTTGTTGTCATTCTTTGCCTTTAAGTCAAATTGTGAACATCCTTTGTCGCACAACTTGTTTACGGATAGTCTGTCCCGGTTCGATGATGATGATGCTGCTGCTGATGATGGTGACTTGTTGCAAATTGAGGCCAATGTCAATGTAAAAACATTTCACACTTTCCTTCCCATGAAAATGCCAGAGGATATTAATGCTGGATGACAGCTGGATGGTTGGACGTAGGAGACTGGGTGGGTGTCGGATATGGAGCATGGTTGGTTGTTGTTGTTATGATGTTTTCATGACGATGATGGACGGATGGCATTAATAAATTTTACGGTTAGCCTTTATGCCAGTGCTAATCACCAAAAATGCGGTAGACCAGACAGACCGAACGAACGAATAAACGAAAGATTAGGCGTTTGGGATTCGCCCTTTCATAACAAAAAGAGACCAAGATAGAGTGAGCGACCGAGCGAGAAAACGAATTCATTAGTGAAATAATTTTCGCATGACCCTCTAATGGAATTCTTTTGGGTGTGTCGGAGTGTGTGTGTTCTTAACACCGCTTAAATCCCTGGCTTTTGAAATTCCTAATCCCTG